ATGGTCGTTCAAATGGTTTATTAATATAATTACCAAAATTTATTTATATACAAAACTGACCTGTCTTATTCTCCCAGGCGCCGCCATGAAAATCATAGGCCATTACGTTAATAATGTCCAGCAATTCGTTCAACTGTTTCACGTCATACGAGACGTCAATCGTCTTTTTGCCCGCACTTACGGCAGCCGTCAGTAAATAGTTATGCGGTTTGAATGCCTCCCGGAGCTCACTTAACAGTGCCACGAAGTTGTCCTTATCTTTCGGATTACCAGGGGTTCGGTCCTCCTCTCCGGAGGCTTTAAAGCCTGGGTACTCCCTATTGAATCGTATGGGGAAATGGTTGTATAAAGTTATACTGTATTAGGTATGTATTGATGTTTTGCATACCAGTCCACATCGAGTCCATCAAATTTATTTGTTTGTATAAATTTGAGGACAGAGTTAACAAACTTTTTTCGTGAGTCCGGACTACTGGCCATCTTTGAGTACTTGTCTGACCCCTCATTCCAACCCCCGATTGATATCAAGGCTTTCATATCGGGGTTGACATCACGCAAGTGCTCAATACGCCGGTACATACCTGTCCACCACATAATGTAATAGAGTACTAAAATTATGGTATTATTCAAAACAACTGACCCTCTCCCCAGGGTAGACCACTTTCCCAATCAGTATCGCCTAAATCCAGGTCCGGGTCAAACACCTGTATCTCTCCCCCGTCGCTGAGTTTGGCGAACCCATACATCATATGCGTACAGAGCAAGGGGTTTGAGATCTCTGGTGTAAACTAGTTATATATACACCATGGTCACAATTTTTATAAATTATAATTTTCGTACATTAAAATTCTCTAATAACTTTATTAATGCAATTGTTTTCAAGCATACCTTCCCTCTGCCTCCATGACTATCTCTATAAAATGACCATGAGCCCCAGTAGCATACCACGTTATACGGTGTTTTATTTGTCTCTGGTAATATTATTTTTGGAAATAAAATAGTATTATTATTTTAACTTTTAAAAATGTAACTGATAATTTAATTACCATTAAGTGGTGCGGCATTTATGGCCACTGCTAACACTATTAGTAAATTTAAAATAATCAACATTGTGACTATTTGTAATAATTATTTTATTACAAATAAAATATTAGTTTTGCGGCTTTATATATAAATTATATTTATATATTTTTAGATAACACCCAGCTAATCTGTAATAATTGTAGCGTATGGAAAAACATAACATTTTCACAGTATCCAATGTATTAGTTTTGTTTTTGTTATCAATAAATTCATTACACAAATAATTGATTGATTAATCTAATTTAAAAACAAAATTACCTGTGTAATTAAATTCATAACAATAATTACAGTTATCCCTTTTTTAATCGAACTAAATCTGAACCGGATAATAGGTAAGTCTTAAGTCTCCAAATAACTGAGGACCTAGGTATTAATGTCAATTATTTTTTAGGTATCCTAATAGTACTCTTATAATAAAAACTTTATTAAATCTAATATTTTGGTACTATTTTATCACTTAATAAATTATTAATTAGTAATAATGATAATGCATTGCTTTATTTATATTTATAATTTAGTATTATATAATAAAATACATTTTATTAATATAAAACTAATAAAAACTCATTTATTTTAATAAAGCTTATAATAAAAGCACATTACGGCTGATGGGTTGGTGCAGGGGTCACGTGCACCTCATGTATGTCAGGGTCGGGTTCACCGGTAATACCATTGAGTTCAGTGCTAATAGTCTTCATCAATGGGTGCTTACGTCCGCCGCAATTGCCGTGAAAGTCGTCCGTATCGATGGACCACACGATAGCACCTCCCAGTCCTTTGCCCTTCAGGTACGACAGCT